GTGGTCTTGGGAATCTGGAGAGGTCCCAGCTGACTGAAAGCTGCCGAACATTGTCCTGATTATCAAGGGCAGGAAGAAGGATCACAGAAACTACAGGCCTGTTAGTCTCACTTCAGTGCCTGGTAAAGTGATTAAGATTATTCTGGGAGGTATTGAAAAACACCCAAAAGACAATGCAGTCATCGGTCACAGCCAGCATGGCTTCATGACAAGAAAGTCCTGCTTATCAAACTTGATTTCCTTTTTTGACAAAGTAACCCACCTCATTGATCAAGGGAAGACAGTTGATGTCATCTTTTTGAATTTCAGTAGAGCTTTTGATACTGTCTCTCACAGAATCCTTCTGGACAAAATGTCCAGCACACAGCTGGATAAACAAGTCATGTGATGGGTGAGCAACTGGCTCACAGGTCGGGCACAGAGAATTATAATGAATAGGGTGACATCAGATTGGCAACCTGCCACTAGTGGGATTCCTCAGGGCTCCATCTTAGCCCTGTGCTCTTCAACACCTCCATAAATTACTTGAAAGCAGGACTCAAAGGGATACTAAGCAAGTTTGCAGATAATACAAAACTGGGAGGAGCCATTGACTCCCTCAAAGGTGGGGAGGGTTTGCAGAAAGACCTTGGCAAATTAGAGGACTGGGCAATCACCAAATGCATGAAGTTTAACAAGGGAAAGTGACAGATTCTGCACCTGGGATGGGGCAACCCTGGGTTTATGTACAGACTGGGGAATGAGATGCTGGAAAGCACTGCCACGGAAAGGGACCTGGGGGTCCTGGTCAACGGAAAGTTGAATATGAGTCAGCAGTGTGCCGTGGCAGCCAGGAGGGCCAACTCTGCCCTGGGGTGCATTAGGCAAAGCATCTTCAACACCTCCATAAATTACTTGAAAGCAGGACTCAAAGGGATACTAAGCAAGTTTGCAGATAATACAAAACTGGGAGGAGCCATTGACTCCCTCAAAGGTGGGGAGGGTTTGCAGAAAGACCTTGGCAAATTAGAGGACTGGGCAATCACCAAATGCATGAAGTTTAACAAGGGAAAGTGACAGATTCTGCACCTGGGATGGGGCAACCCTGGGTTTATGTACAGACTGGGGAATGAGATGCTGGAAAGCACTGCCACGGAAAGGGACCTGGGGGTCCTGGTCAACGGAAAGTTGAATATGAGTCAGCAGTGTGCCGTGGCAGCCAGGAGGGCCAACTCTGCCCTGGGGTGCATTAGGCAAAGCATCACCAGCCAGTCAAGGGAGGTGATTGTCCCGCTCTGCTTAGTACTGGTGTGACCTCATCTTGAATATTGTATGCAGCTTTGGGCACCATAATACAAGAAAGATATTAAGCTATTAGAGAGCATCCAAAGGAGGGCAAAAAAGATGGTGAAAGGCCTTAAGGGGAAGCTCTGTGAGGAATGGCTGAGGTGACTTGGTCTGTTCAGCCTGGAGGAGACTGAGGGGAGATCTCATCACAGTCTACAACTTCCTTGTGAGGGGAAGAGGAGGGGCAGACACTGATCTCTTCTCTGTGGTGACCAGTGACAAGACCTGAGGAAATAGCCTGAAGTTTTGTCAGGGGAGGTTTAGGTTGGATATTAGAGAAAGGTTCTTCACCCAAAGGGTGGTTGGACACTGGAACAGGCTCCCCAGGGAAGTGGTCACAGCCCCAAGCCTGACAGAGTTTGGACAAGAAGCTTTTGGACAATACTCTCAGGCACATGGTGTGGTTCTTGGGGATGGTGCTGTGCAGGGCCTGGAGTTGGATTCAGTGATCCTTGTGTGTCATTTCCAACTCAGCATATTCTGTGATTCTTTGATTGTCTGATTCTGTGATGTGACAATGGACCACTCAATGGATAAGAAATTGGCTGGATGATCACACTCAAAGAGTTGCAGTCAACAGCTCAATGTCCAAGTGGGGAGCAGTGACTGGTGGTGATCCTCAGGAGTCAGTACTGGGACTGGCACTGTTTAACATCTTTGTTGGTGACATGGACAGTGAGATCGAGTGCACCCTTAGCAAATTTGCTGATGACAGCAAACTGTGTGGTGCAGTCAACACATTGGATGGAAGGGATGCCAACCAGAGGGGCTCTGACAGGCTTGAGAGGTGGGCCTGTAAAAACCTCATGAAGTTCAACAAGGCCAAGTGCAAGGTCCTGCACCTGGGTCGGGGCAATCCCAAGTACAAGTAAAGGCTGAGTGAGGAATGGATTGAGAGCAGCTCTGGGGAGAAGGACTTGGGGGTGTTGGTGGACAAGAAGCTTGATATGTATGTATTGGTTTCACATGGCCTGGTTTTTGGCAGCAGAGGGGCCACAAAGATGGTTCCTGTGAGAAGCTGCTAGAAGCTTCCCACCATGTTCAACAGAGCAAATGGCTGATGGCTCTGAAGATGGACATGCTGCTGGCCAAAACTGGGCCAACAAGAGAGGTTGGTAACACCTCTGTGATTACATATTTAGGAAGAAAATCAAAACAAAAGTCACAAGTTTTTGCTTGTAGTTAGAGGAGGAGGTGAGAATATGTGAGGGAAAACAACATGGTGACACCAAGGTCAGTGGAGAAGGAGGGGGAGGAGGTGCTCCAGGCGCTGGAGCCAAGATTCCTCTGAAGGCCATGGTGAAGTCCATGGTGAAGCAGGCTGTACCCCTGCAGCCCAGAGGTCTGCAGGGGATGCAGAGAGATCCACCTGCAGCCCATGGGGGAGGTACCCATGCCAGAGCAGGTGGATGCCTGGAGGAGGCTGTGATCCAGTGGGAGACCCGGTGGAGAGAGGGGGCCCCTGTTTCCAGGCTGGAGCAGCTTGTCCTTGGAGGACTGCACCCCACGGAAAGAGAGCCACATCACAGCAGTTTTAGGAGGACTGTGTTCCCATGGGGGGAGGTCATGTTGCAGCAGGTGTGGTATGGCTGCTGCTCGTGAGAGTGGACCCACGCCAGAGAGTTCACGGAGAACTGTCTCCCATGGGAGGGACCCCATAGTCTCACAGGGGAAGAACTCCTCTCCTAGAGCAGCAGAAGAAAATCTCAGTGATGAACTGACCAAAACCCCCATGCCCTGTGTCCCTGTGCTGTCAGTGTGAAGGAGGGAGGAGCAAAAAGGTGTTTTAAGGGCTTATTTTACTTCTCATTATCCTCCTCTGATTCTGTTAGTAATAAAATTCACTTTGCCACCTTAAGTTGAGCCTGTTTTGCCTTTGAAACATTTCTCCCAGTCCTTATCTCCTTCATGAAGTGTTAGATAATTTTTTTCCCTCTGCCCAGCTGTGGCAGGGGAGGGTGACAGAGCGACTCTCATGGATGCCTGACATTGGGCCAGTGTCAAACCACGACAATGTCTCAGCAATGTGTCCTTGCAGCACAGACAGCCAACCATATAAAAAATAATCTGCTTCAAAGGCTGCATCAAAAGGAGCATGGCCAGCAGGTCAAGGGAGGTAATTCTTTTCCTCTACTCTGCTCTTGTGAGACCCCACCTGGAGCACTGCATCCAGCTCTGGGGTCCCCAGCACAGGAAGGACATAGGCCTGTTGGAGAGAGTCCAGAGGAGGACCATGAAGGTGATCAGAGAGCTGGAACACCTCTCCTATGAAGACAGGCTAAGAGAGTTGAGGCTGGGCTGTTCAGCCTGGAAAAGAGAAGTCTCCAGGGTGACCTTATAGCAGCCTTCTGGTACCTAAAGGGGGCTTACAAGAAAGCTGGGGAGGAATTTTTTACAAGGGCGTGTGGTGATAGAACAAGGGGGAATGGCTTTAAAATGAAAGAAAGTAGATTTAGATTAGATATTAGGAAGAAATTCTTTACTGTGTGGGTGGTGAGGCACTGAAACAAGCTGCCCAAAGAAGTTGTGGATGCCCCATCCCTGGAAGTGTTCAAGACCAGGTTGGATGGGGCTTTGAGGAACCTGGTCTAATGTAAGGTGTTCCCGCCCATGGCAGAAGGGTTGGAACTAGACAATCTCTAGGGTCCCTTCCAACCCAAACTATTCTATGATTTTATGAAATCTGAAGCCTTCACACTTATATCTTGTTTGGTAGTATAACTGATGTGGTATATTCCCTCTGGCCAGCTTTTCCGTATGTGAAAGAACTCTAGCTGCCCTGTTGAAAAAACAATGGATAAAAGAATGGGATAGTGCTGTTGCTGCAACACTGAAAACACTCACCATTTTAAAGTGCAAGCTATCAAATACACTGAAGTTTTGTTGGGGTTTTTTATACTTAATGGAGTCAAATATATTTAGATTGATTATGTAAATGATCAAAAGACATTCCTGACATTATACCATTTCAGGAAGTGTTTATAAATCTTACATAGAAAGACTGTCTCATTCTTGGAAAAAAAATCTTAATGTCTAAACTTTATGGATTATCTAGTAATTTTATTTGTCCTATATTTCAAAGCCTGTTTTACAACTTAAGAAATTAGCAAAGCAAAAAAAATCTGAAGAATGAAAAACTACCCTTAAAGCCTTTTTTCTTCTGGCTTTTAAAAAATACAGCTTTACATTTACAGTACAGTTAATAAAAATACAGCATTTCTTAACTAGATGTTTAGAAGCTCAGGACAGCAGCAACTTTCTACTAGCAAAACCAGCCAGCCTGTCTGTTTAAGGCATTAAGAGTAAACTAAATGTTCCATCCACAAAACAGAGATAACTATTTCTTTTTAAAAGACAAAGGTTACAAAATGAAATTATGCTACATGGCAAAAAATGTACCATGAAACCATAAAAATGGTTATGCTACATGGCACAAAAAGTACCTTCTAGTGTGTTTTACCTGAAAGTAATACAGAAAACAGGCAGCATTTAGAGGGAAAGAGTATTTGTTCAGAGACAAACTACCTAGTTACTCTGTCTAGGTCAGTTTAAGTTACTAATTTTCTCTACAGGGAAACTTGTCTCACAACTCAGTAAGAAATTTCAGTAACCACCACAACTCAAAAAAAAAAAACCAGTTTGAATTCTTATTCCAAAATAATAAATATACTTACCGGTGTTTTGAGTGAGATCTTTTCCTTCTAGATTGGGATTTTGAGCTAGACCTGGATTCTGAACGAGAATGGGAACGAGATCGACCACATTTTCTTTCACTGCTCTTTCCAGACTCTGAGAGGAAGAAAACACAGCAATGTAAGCTCAGAATATTGAAAGATCCCAGTTAACAATCTGGCACAAGTGTAATGTAACACGCATATAGTGCAAGGGGCCCATGCTTTGCACATCTTCCTTCTTTGCTAATATCCTTGAGAAACATCCAATAAAGTCATTGCATATACTCATTGAGTGCAGCCACCCTGCAACAGTACACATATACCAGATAATTATAAACAGCTAGTTCTGTTAGGAATGGGATTTATGTTGCTGCCACAATGCACAAGATTACAACAGGTTCTCCTCTGGTATATTATTTAAATAATTTTTAAAATAACCTCAGAAGAAAAAATTTAGATGGCAGAGTTTTGAAAACAAGCATAAAATGCAAATAATAATTAGTACTTTTTATACTTTTAAATATTCCAACGACTGCACAAATATTGAAGTTCTATTCCTCAAACACTTTTTTGGGGGAGGAAGGGATGGAGAGAAGGGAGTAAAAAGTTTGATCCAAAGGCCAGGAAGTCAACAGAAAACTTACCAGTGACCTCTGCAGACTTTGGTTCACAGTCTAAAAGATTATCATTGGATTAATCCAAACAGTCTTTCCTAAAATACCTTTCATATGTACCACAGGAACTTTATCTCCATCCGCTGTGTGCAAGGCTTCAGTCTGGAAAGGACCAGCTAGATTGATGGACCTTGGGTGTTGACCATCCAGGTGGCTTTTGCTAAGTTCATTTTCCAATTTCTAAAAGTTGCCTCGCCAAGTGCCTTCAGGGTAGTCTTAAGAAATCTGTTGCACTGTTCAACTTTCCCGGCAGCTGGTGCATGATAGGGGATATGATATATCCATTCAATACCATGTTCCCTGGCCCAGGTGTTGATAAGGCTGTTCTTGAAATGGGTCCCGTTGTCTGAGTAAATTCTCTCAGGGGTGTCATGTCTCCACAGGACTTGCTTTTCCAGGCCCAAGATGGTGTTCCCGGCAGTAGCGTGAGGCACAGGGTAGGTCTCCAACCATCCAGTGGTAGCTTCTACCATGGTCAGCATGTAGCGCTTGCCTTGGCATGTCTGAGGCAGTGTGATGTAGTCAATCTGCCAGGCCTCCCCATACTTGTACTTGGACCACGGCCCACTATACCATAGGGGCTTTACTCGCTTGGCCTGCTTGATCACAGCACATGTCTCACAGTCATGGATAACCTGCAAAATACTGTCCATGCTTAAATCCACCCCTCGGTCTCATGCCCACTTATAGGTGGCATCTCTCCCCTGATGACCTGAGGCACCATGGGCCCATTGAGCTAGGAACGACTCCCCCTTATGTTGCCAATCTAAGTCTCTTTGACACCTCTGTCTTTGCTGCCTGATCTACTTGCTCATTGTTTCGGTGTTCCTCACTGGCTCTACGCTTAGGGACATGGGCATCTACATGACAGACTTTCACAGATAGATTTTCTACCCAAGTGGCAATGTCTTTCCATTCATGAGCAGCTTTCCTCTACGCTGCCAGTTGGCCTTTTTCCTCCTTTTCAGCCAGCCCCACAGAGCATTGGCTACCATCCATGAATCAGTATAAAGGTAGAGCTTTGGCCACTTTTCTCTCTCAGCAATGTCCAGGGCCAGATGAACAGCTCTGAGATCAGCAAGTTGACTTGATCTACCTTCTCCTCCAGTACCTTGTGCAACCTGTCGTGTGGGGCTCCATACAGCTGCTTTCCACTTCCGGTTCATTCCTACGATGCGATAGGAACCGTCAGTGAAGAGAACGTAGCGTGTTTCCTCTGGTGGCAGTTGGTTATAGGGTGGAGCTTCTTCAGCACGTGTCACTTGCTCTTGTTCCTCTTAATCTATGAGACCAAAGTTTTCACCTTCCGGCCAGTTTGTAATTATCTCTAAAATCCCAGGACGATTCAGGTTTCCAATACGGGCGTGCTGCGTGATGAGGTCAATCCATTTGCTCCATGTGGCATCAGTGGCGTGGTGGGTAGAGGGAAACTTTGCTTTAAACATCCACCCCAGTACCAGTACTCAGGCTGCCAGGAGGAGTTGTGCTTCTACGCCAATCACCTCCAAGGCGGCTTGAACTCCTTCATAGGTGGCATCTATGAGACCAAAGTTTTCACCTTCCGGCCAGTTTGTAATTATCTCTAAAATCCCAGGACGATTCAGGTTTCCAATACGGGCGTGCTGCGTGATGAGGTCAATCCATTTGCTCCATGTGGCATCAGTGGCGTGGTGGGTAGAGGGAAACTTTGCTTTAAACATCCACCCCAGTACCAGTACTCAGGCTGCCAGGAGGAGTTGTGCTTCTACGCCAATCACCTCCAAGGCGGCTTGAACTCCTTCATAGGTGGCAAAGATTTCCTTCTCTGTGGGAGTGTAGTTGGCTTCAGACCCTCTGTAACTTTGGCTCCAGAATCCCAGTGGTCGGCCTCAAGTCTCCCCAGGCACCTTCCCCCAAAGGCTCCCAGACAAGCCATAGTTCCTGGCTGCAGAGTAGAGCACATTCTTCACATCTGGTCCCGTCCTGACTGGGCCAAGGGCTACCGCATGAACAATCTCCTGCTTGATCTCGGCAAAAGCTTGTTGCTGCTCAGGGCCCCAGTGAAAATCGTTCTTTTTGTGGATGACCAGGTAGAGAGGGCTCACAATCTGGCTGTACTCGGGAATATGCATTCTCCAAAAACCTACGGTGCCTAGGAAAGCTTGTGTTTCCTTCTTCCTGGTTGGTGGAGACATTACGGTGATCTTGTTGATGACATTGGTGGGAATCTGACGCTGTCCATCTTGCCACTTTACTCCTAGAAACTGTATCTCTCGAGCAGGTCCTTTGACTTTGCTCTTCTTGATGGCGAAGCTGGCTTTCAGGAGAATCCAGATGATTTTCTCTCCTTTCTCAAACACCTCTGCTGCCATGTTCCCCCACACAATGATGTAATCGATGTACTGTAGGTGTTCTGGAGCTTCACCCTTTTCCAGTGTGGCCTGGATCAGTCCATGGCAGATGGTGGGGCTGTGCTTCCATCCCTGGGGCAGTTGGTTCCAGGTGTGCTGCATGTCCCTCCAGGTGAAAGCAAACTGAGGTCTTCATTGGAACACTGATCATACTTTCATAATTTCTAAGCTTGTTGGCAACAGAACCCACGGTCTCTCGGTTGCTATCAGCATTAATCATTGTAATGAAGGTGGTGTATTGAGATGGCCCTAGATTTGCCAGACTCCACAACATTTGCTCTGTGCACCTGACCTTGTCAGGGTCATTATCATTCTGTCCATCCCTCCCAAACTGTACCTCCAGTACTGCCACTTCTCTCAGCTGTTGGATCCCTTCCTCAAGGGTCTTGCAGCTCATTCTATGTTGCTGCTCATGCATTCTCTCCCTGTGTACAAACCTCTCTCTGACACTCATTAAAAGCCACTCCCAGAGGGAAAGGGACCCTGGCTCCCTTACAAAAATCTCATTCACGCCTGAGTCCTGGGTCAAAGGTCCCAGATTCCTTGCCTCACCACCATCCAGCTGGACGCCTGCACCCATAAGGTCCCAGACTAGACGTAGCCAGGTTGTATAAGCCTCATGTCCCCATTGTACAATGCCTTTGTGCAGATTATGGAGACTTTCATACATCAGGGACTCAGTGATGATTGCAACCTCTGGCTCCTCTGTGGCTTGTGAGGGCCCTCCCTTATCTGGGTGCTCTGATTTCATCTTAGATCGCCTTGTTTCTATAGGGGCGACTGCTGCTGGCTGTGACTGCCTTTGCAGTTCAGCTGGAACCAGGACAGTTGTAACATCTGTGGGTTCTACTGCTGCACTATTAGACTCTCTCTCTTTGAGGCAGGGGGAGGGCTTCTCACTAGCTGGGGAAATATACTCCTTCAGCATCTCTCCCATCTCATGTATCTCCTTCACCAGAACCCCCATCCAATCTGGGTAGTTTATTTCTGAGGTGGGCTGTGGGGCAGGGTCAGGCTCGAGGGCAGCAGCATCCCTAGTCTCCGGGGTAGGTGTCAGGGTGGTTATCCAGGTTAATCTTCCCTTATCTCTAAGTGCAGAGCATCTCACAGTGGGATGCTGTAATTTTATCAGTCATGCAGTGACAGTCAATGGCCCATTAACACATGATATCTCCCTGGAGGGAGGATGGGTTGTGGAAGAGATAAGGAAAACTGCCTAATTAACAGAAGATAACTGCCACACCTCTAACAGATGACAAATAGAATACACATTGCTTGGCAATCTACGACAAAAAAAAAAGGAGGATTTCAACTGCAAGTTTAACAAGTTGACAATCTTTTACATTGAGGTGTTGTAATCCCTTTAAGTCAGCATAAATCAGCACTGAAGTGTCTGCTTAACCACTTGAGCCACTGACACCTTCCTCCTTGACCTGGCATTTCAGTGTTAACAGGGGTCAGGAAACCAATCTGAATAAAAAAAAAGTCTGTTACAATATGTTAAGTTTTATCTCAGATTCATTCTCTGATCCCATTTGCTATGAAGATGCATATAGTCTTGAGGCAGTATGTAAAAGAGCATAGCACAGTGATAAAATTAACCTGCCAAAGAAAAGCATAATATTGCTGCTTTCAGCAGCACTTTAGCTCGCTCTGATCATGAAACTATGGTATTAATGGGTGCTAGAAGAGAAAACAAAATATAAAGCATTTTTTAAGTTTGTAAGTACTTTGAGCTTTAAAAGCATCAACATTAAATATTAATTTAGTATTTACTTTGCATTTTTGAAAACATTCAGTGAGCATGTATCTGAAAATAAGACATGATGAAATAAAGTCAGCTTCATTCCATTGCTTTGTTGCATGAAAACAACTTTGATTGTTCTCTTTTGTTTTCCCACATACATGTTGCTCACCTTTGAGTACCCTTTTCCTGTGTTTGAAAGTGCTCTTAAAAGCATGTGTCAAGGTACACACAGAACATGTCTGTTAGGTCATGAACATAATATACCTACCTGGCTCAATAGCAGCAGATATGAAAGATTGAGCTTCCCTTACTCTCTTCATCACTTCTTCCAGTTCCTTGGCAGCAGCTTGTGGTGTCATTTCAGGAGGCTTCACTATTGCATTATTGGAGTGATTTATTCTAAATTAAGACAAAAAAAAAAATTAACTTCCAAAACTCTTGAAAAGGAATAATAAAAAAAAAAAAAAAAGAAAGCACCTCAACTTCCATGTATGACTAAAAACTCCAAAGTTCAGCAAAACTACAAATTTTTCCTCTAACACTCATATTTTCTAAGTATATGAGATATCTGGTTTTTATTGCTTTCAAATCTTATAACTTTTAAATAATTGTGGCACAATATTTCTTTGTTAAATTTTTTCTAGTACAAGTCTATAAATCTATTTCAGATCAAATTCCTACATTAATACCTACTAATTACATACACATCATATATAAAGCTTAATTAGTACAAAGGACTTTGCAGATTTTCTCACTGTTATGGCTTTCACAAATTCAAGATTGGATGTAGAAATATCTTATTCAATGCCAACCATATTCTTCTTGGAAAAAAAGTTATGTCCAGCCTTGAAATTTGAGTTCATAAAAGCATTCCAGTTTACTAACAATAGGTCTTTACACTGAGAATATATTAATATTATAAAGAATATAATAATAATATAAAATATTAATCACAGCAGTTTCCTGCACATGAGCCATAAATATATAAGGATACTAAGACATCTCACATTCAATATTCATATAGCTAATTAATTTCTTACTTCAGTGGCCTGTCTCCAAACATAACTCCATTAAAGGCAAGAGCTCGAGGTACAGAATTTTGGTCTGCAAATTCCACAAAAGCAAATCGTGTTGGTTGTGTCTCATCACCTGCCATTCGCACAAATTTGACTTCTCCAACTTGCTTAAAGAATTCAAGCAGCTGATCTGCTGTTGTAGTCTAGAAAGAGTCAAAGAGCTCAGCTGAAGTAAAAGATATAATGAAATCCACATATTCAACATATCAGATAATCTAACAGCTACAGATTTTGTAAACACATCTCATCATCATTACACAGGTGACATGAATTTGGTGATGTTACACTTTAAGAGAGAAAGGTATTTCTTTCTTCCAATAATCTAAAAAATATATTACAATTTAAAATAGTGAAACCATGAGCCCTGAAGTCCTACATCTAGGTTAAAAAAGCACTTGTACAGGATTTTGTAGTTTTCAGACAACTTATTTGAAATAACTGATGATACACCTATGTCCAAGATACCGATTGTGAATTCCGATCAACTAAAAAAAATCCAAGCAGTATTACAAGACTTCACTTTTATCTGCTTTTCTACTAGTTCCAAGCTTGTTTTATTTTATTGCAATCAATAGTAGTTTTATACTTTAGTAGCTACTTTGGCAGTCAAAAAACAAAAAATCAAATACTTATATTTCCATCAGTCAAAATCAAATTGTTTTTCAATCAATTCAATCAATTGCTGAAAAAGAAATTTCTGACAGACCCACATTTCCTGTCAGAGCAACTCAAATATATTTATGCTAATTTTTAAACTTCTACTGGGACAAATAATTCCTTCTTACTGTACTTAAGCAACTGCAGAGTGTTGTGGGGGACAGCTACCATGCTCTCACAAATTCTGAGGCATTGTTCAGCTAATATCATCAAGCTGGACATTTGATCAACACCGACAATCATAAATGTTTCTTGAATTCAGTTAGTGTGATTTTTCTGTTTTCCTGCTAGAATGAATTCCAACAGTTTGGTCTAATCTGATTGGCAAAAGAGCATTCAAGAATTTGAAATATCTCTAGTAAACGTCTATTGGCATCAACTAATGAAAACTCTTAAAATGTAAGATTGTAATTCACAAATTAACAATTCTGTATCTTCCATTATTATTACCACCAAAACAAAAAAAGCTACCTGTGAATTCAAGTTTCCAACGTAGACTGTTCTTCTAATTTCATCAATCTTGGATGGGTCCACATTCCCCATAATTGGTGGCTGTGGTATTTCTCCCACTGTTGTAATGTTAGGGTCCAATGCTGCTGCTGGTATAGCCCCCAAAGTGCCAAGTGAAACACCAAGCTGGAAAACATAAAAATAGGATATGCTTTGCAACCAAGCACAGGAAGGAGACACTTCACCTTTTAATACTTGCCTTCCTTGTGCATTTCAGTAAAAATAAACCTAATTAATATAGGTAAGACTTTAAACTGTAAGGTCCCAGAATTGGGAATTGAAATTTCTCCTGTTATAAAAAAAAAAAGTCACACTAAAATGATTACTAAATTGGTCTGCTGAGTTCCTGGTTTGAATTTTTTCTCCATCCAAAAATCAACTTCCTTTCCAGCAAACAAAGTTTCTAACCACCAGTAGTTTTTTTTTTATGTAACAAAACTACTCTCTTTATTTGAAATCATCCTTTTATTATTAAACAGAGGGTTATTGTACTGGGTGTGGCTGAGCTGGAGTTCATGTTCCTATAGCAGCCCTCAGAGTGTTGTGCTTTGCATTGGTAGCTAGAAAGGTGTTGATAACACACCAGTGTTTTGGCTACTGCTGAGCAGCACTGGCACAGCATCAATACTGTCTCTCAACATTCCCATTAAGGGGTTGGGAGTGGGCAAGATCTTGTGAGAGGACACAACCAGGCTAGCTGACCCAAATTAACCAAAGGGATATTCTGTACCATATGATGTCAGGTCAGATATAAAGCTAGGAAAAGGAGGAGGAAGGAGGTGCATTCGTTATTTACAATGTTTGCCTTCCAGAGCAACCACTACACATGCTGGAGCCCTGCTTTCTGGGAAGCAGCTGAACATTGCTCACTGATGGGAAGCAGAGAATAAACTTTTTTTTTTCTTTGCTTGTTCACATGCAAACTTTCACTTTTGCTTTAGTAAACTGCCTTATCTCAACCTACGAGTTCTTATTTTTTCTCCCCTGTCTAGCTAGGAAGGGGAGTGGTAGAGCAGCTTGGTGGGCACCTGGTGCCCGGCCAAGGTCAACCCATTAAAGTTATATAGCTTGACTTCCTCTTTGATATTCTAAAATTCACAGATAATTTATTAAATATGTATATTAAAAACAAAGTGAATTTACCTTAGATGGTGTCATGGTTTTGCAAAACCACTACAGATGGTTAGTTTAGAAACAAATGTCTCTAAACACCACTATTACACCAGTCCTGTTTAACATATAAATCTTTATCAATGCTCTGGATGAGTGGATCAAGTGCATCCTTAGCAAATTTGACGACACCAAGATGGGTGGGAGTGTTGATCTGCTGGAGGGTAGGAATGTACTACAGAGGGATATGGATAGGCTGGATTGATGGGCCAAGGCCAACTGTATGAGATTCATCAAGGTGAAGTGCTGAGTACTGAACTTGGGTCACAACAACCCCATGAAACACTACTGCCTTGAGGAAGGGTGGCTGGAAAGCTGCCTGGCAAAAAAAGGACCTGGGGATGTTGGTCAACAGCTGGCTGAACATGAGCCAGCCCATGCCCAGGTGGCCAAGAAAGCCAATGGCATCCTGGCTTGTATCAGCAATAGTGTGACCAGCAGGACTAGGAAGTGGATGAGTGGATCAAGTGCATCCTTAGCAAATTTGACGACACCAAGATGGGTGGGAGTGTTGATCTGCTGGAGGGTAGGAATGTACTACAGAGGGATATGGATAGGCTGGATTGATGGGCCAAGGCCAACTGTATGAGATTCATCAAGGTGAAGTGCTGAGTACTGAACTTGGGTCACAACAACCCCATGAAACACTACTGCCTTGAGGAAGGGTGGCTGGAAAGCTGCCTGGCAAAAAAAGGACCTGGGGATGTTGGTCAACAGCTGGCTGAACATGAGCCAGCCCATGCCCAGGTGGCCAAGAAAGCCAATGGCATCCTGGCTTGTATCAGCAATAGTGTGACCAGCAGGACTAGGAAGTGATTCTTCTCCTGTACTCGGCACTGGTGAGGCCACACCTCTAATACTGTGTCCAGGTTCGGGACTCTCATGACAAGATGCTGGAGTACATCCAAAGAAGAGCAACAGACCTGGTGAAGGGGCTGGAACACAAGTCTTCATGAGGAGCAGCTGAGGGAACTGGGTTTATTTAGCCTGGAGAAAAGGAGGCTCAGGGGAGCCCTTATCACTCTCTACAACTACCTGAAGGGAGGTTGTAGTGAAGTGGGTGTCAATCACTTCTCTCAAGTAACAAGTGATAGGATGACAGGAAATGGCCTCAAGTTGTACCAGGGGAGGTTTAGATTGGATATTACAAAACATTTCTTCAACAAATGCTTGTCAAGCAATGGAACAGGCTGCCCAGGGAAGCAGTTGAGTCACCATTTGTGGAGCTATTTAAAAGATGTGTAAACATGGCACTTGGGAACATGGTTTAGTGGTGGACTTGGCAGTGTTAGGATTACAGTTGAACTTGATGATCTTAGAGGTCTTTTCTAACCTAAATTATTCCATGATTATTTAGGGATCATTACCAACAATTATGCAGTGAAAACCTGAGTAAGCACAGTTTTTTAATGAAATACCTAAACTATTACTTCACATATTTTAAGACAAAAAAGCGCCAACATTCTTGTGAACTAAAAATTATTTTCAAAGTCATCCAATGTCTCTCATACAATGACAGTTATGAACCATAAACAGAAGCATCCTAAACCTCTAACTGGCGACATTGGACACACTGTTTCATTATACAAGTTGCACACTTGAAAACAGCTCTTGGACCACAACCTTTAAAATGGATAGTGACCTCGGAAGGAAGGAAGGAAGGAAGGAAGGAAGGAAGGAAGGAAGGAAGGAAGGAAGGAATTTCTTTTAGGATGCTGATCAGTATCAGCTAAGAATATGAGAGTGGGAATAACGTTTCTGGTCATGGAGACAGATGAGCAATCATTTAAGTACAATATCTTGATTTAGGACAATTTAAGAGGTAGACACTTCAAAGTGAGTTGCCTCCTCTTAAGTGTTTTAGCCAACCCCTTTCCACCAATAAGAAAAGAATATGAGTAGATACAAGTGAAAAAATAACAGTTTACTAAAAAAAAAACAAAATAGCAACAGGCAGAAAATAACAGTAATAGTCACTAGTTACAAACTTGCTGAAATCTCACAGACTGCCCAGGAATAAAGAGAAACTCAAAATGGAGGAGTAACACCACCCCCACCCCCCTCCCAAGATGATGCCCTCTGCAGATGACCGCATGTGGAGAGACAAAGATGGCAATAGCCCATCCCCTCTATGTCTCCACCAGTAGTGGCAGCTCCATTGGCAAAAAGCAGATGGCACACTCCAGTGGCTGGAGTTCGGTCAATGTCTAGAACTTGTGGAGGGACTTTGCTGCCTTCTTGGCAGAAGACGACAAGCAGTCGGCTGGGGTAACTCAGACTCCATGCCTTCCCATTTCGACTGGGTGCTGCTGGTGTGTGTGGCATCCCATGAACTCTCTCCCCTCGGCCAACCCCCAAGCCCTCAGCCCTGGAAACATTAACTACTTACCATAGAGTTAGCCCTCCCAAAGGGAAAAACAGACTTCCCCGTGGACTTGGTGTCGCAACTTCCTCTGGTTTCTCCTTCCCCTCTCACTGGCTTGGCATCCCTGGTGGCCACCCCCCTTCCCCTGGAGGCCATGCCCCTCCACCCACCCCTTAGCTCTGCCCCCCCACTCCTTCCCCTTTATAAGCTGCCTGCTCCACGTGGTTCATCCTCTTTCCCCAGGTTTGTCCTTCAGCGACGGTGTTCCTCTGCTGGAATAAAACCTTGCAAAAGAGCCTTTCTTGCCTCTATCACTGAATCAGTTGCGGTGAGTGTTGAGTGGAGGTTTGACTGAGTTGCCTGAATGTTAACTCAGCTTGCTTTTCAACAGGAGAGGCTTGCTGGGGACAAGGGAGAGGCAGCAGCACCTACCACTTTAACACCCACATTTTTAGGTGTGCTGGGGCGACCACATGGAGCAGGGCTGTTATGTTCTTCTCGGTGTGATGCTGCAGCTGTAGTCAGGCACTCGCAGAATTTACCTTGAAGCAGTCCAGGACTGCAAAACACAGTCTTTCATAAACAAAACACCCGAAGCACCCCCCTCAAAGAAAAAAGACCAAAAGAAACCCAAAGGGGAGCCTCCACCCATGCTGCCTCAGCTCTATGGCAAAAGCCGAGGCAAGAGAGGCAAGAGACAAGAGAGAGCTCTGCCTGAGTGCTCTGACTTCTAAAATTCCTGGGGCATCCCCTAGCCCCTGCCCTACCATTCCATTTTTCATCTGTCAGGTCTTAAAGAGACAGTAACAATTTTGGGCACAGATAGATGTGTAATACAATAACATTTTGGGTTACCCAAGACATTATCCAGCCCTTATTCCATATCATCTACTCCTGCCCAAATGAATACCTTTCACCTGTACACATATATACAGATAAATATTTACAAATACAATTATTATTTCAGTAGCCACTGACTATCCTTCAGGATATGGATTGAATTAATTTGGTCCATGACTGATATAACCAAAGCAGTCCATTCTCATTGTCCATGGTAGTTACAACATGCAGTGACAATGACATTCAGCAACCAGTGTTACATATGCAATTCAACATTACAGGCTGTTCTCACCCAAAGTCAAATCCCCCTGAGGTATACAATGTGTTTCCCCGTCCCTCTGCATTGCCCACCAAGTGTAACCAGGTCCTTGAGCAAAAATAATCCCATGGATGGGTTTGCCTTTCCTCAAGGCAGGATTAATCCAAACTGTCTTTCCTTGCATACCTCTCATATGCACCACAGGGTCTTTATCTCCATCTGCTGTATACAGGGATCCTGATTGTGCAGGGCCGGCTCAGTTAGTGGAACATCTGGTGTTGACTAGCCTTTGCTAAGTGCAGATTGACTGCTTGAGGGTCCAACAACCCAGTGCCTTCAGTGTTGTTATCAGTCCATTATACCAGCTGATGTTCCCAGTGGCTGGTGCATGACAGTGTATATAATACACCCACTCAATATTGTGTTGTCTAGCCCAGATGTTTATAAGGCTATTTGTGAAATGAGTCACATTGTCTTCCTCAATTCTTTCAGGGGTGCCATGTCACCACAGGACTTGCTTTTCAAAGCCCAAAAAAATGTTCTGGCCAGTGGCGTGAGACATGGGGTTGTCTCCAGCCATCCAGTGGTTGCTTCTACCATTGTAAGCATGTAACTCTTGTCTTGGCGGGTTTGCAGCAGTGTGATGTAATTGATCTGCCAGGCCTCCCCATACTTATATTTAGACCACCGCCTCCAATACCACAGGGGCTTTACTGTCTTGGCCTGCTTGATCACAGTACATGTTTCACAGTCATGGATAACCTAGGATACAGTGTCTAAGTCCACCCCTCAGTCACGAGCCCACCTGTACGTTGCATCTCTTCTCTGATGACATTAGGCATCATGGACCCACCAAGCTGGAAATAACTCACCCTTATGTTGCCAGTCCAGATCTACCTGTGACACCTTGATTTTGGCAGCCTGATCCACCTGTTCATTGTTGCGGTGCTCCTCATGAGCCTGACTCTTAGGTACGTGTGCATCCACATGACAGACTTTCATGGTCACCTGGGTAGCAATGTCTTGCCACACTTTGGCAGACAAAGGGGTTTCCCTCTGTGCTGCCAGTTGGCCTTTTTCCATCTTTCCAGCCACCCCCATAAAGTATTTGCTACCATCCACAAGTCAATGCAGAGGTAGAGTGTTGGACACTTCTCTCATTCAGCAATGTCCAAAGCCAACTGGACAGCTTTCTGCTCTGCAATGTGACTCCATCCACCTCGGTAGCTTCCGCGACCCACCGTGTAGGGCTCCATACAGTTGCTTTCCATTTCCTACTGGTCCCTATGGCAAGATATGGCAAGATCCATCAGTGAAAAGAGAGTATCACCTCTCACTCTCCAGTAGCTGGTTATATGGTGGGGCGTCCTGTGCATGTCACCTGCTCTTCTTCCTCTTCAGATGATAATCCAAAATTCTCACATGTAGGACAGTTTGTGATGACTTCCAAGATCCCAGAGCAACTCAGATTTCCTATACAAGCTTGCTGTGGGATGAGAGCAATCCACGTACTCCACATCATATAAGTGGCATGATGTTTTGCAGGGACTTTCCCTTTAAACATCCTAGCACTGGTAGCTGAAGTGCCAGAAGAAGCTGTGCTTTGGTGCCAATCACTTCTGAGGCAGCTTGAACTCCTGGGCTCAGATCCTTTGAATCCCTGACTCCAGAACCTGAGAGATCATACTCAAGTCTCTCCAGGTACATTCTGCCAGAGGCTTCAGGAAGGGCCATTCTCCCTGACTGTGGTTTAGAGCTCATTTTTCACATCCTGTCCTGTCCTGATTGGCCCAGAGACCACTGCATGAGGAATCTCCTATTCAATTTGTTCAAAGTCTTACTGTTGTTCCGGGTCCCACTTGAAATAATTTTTCTTTCATGTCACAAGGTAGAGAGGGCTTAAAATCTTGTTGAATTCTGGGACATGCATCCTCCAAAAACCCACGATGCCTAGGAAAGCCTGTGTTTGCTTCTTGCTGGTCAGTGGAGACATAGCAGCTATCTTATTGATCACCTCTGTTGGAATCTGTGTGCACCTGTCTTCCCATTTTATCCCCAGGAACTTAATTTCCTGGGCAGGTCCTTTGACCTTACTGTGCTTTATGGCAAAACTGGACTTCAGGAAGATTTGGATTATTTTCTCCCCTTTCTCAAAATATTCCTCTGCTGCGTTGCCCCAATGATCAGGAGTCTTACCACAGAAGGGTCCTCTGAGAGACCAGACAAGGTGTTCAATTGTCTAATGTCTTCTGCCTCTACAGCAATCCCAAAAGCCCACCTGAGGGCCAGCTGAATGGCTTTGAGTCCGGCAAGTTGGCTCAATCCACCTTCTCCTTCAGTAACTTCTGCAACCTGTCATGTGGGGCTCCATACGGCTGCTTTCCACCTTTGTTTCATCCCTACAACGTGGCAGGAACTGTCAGTGAAAAGAGCATAGCATGTTTCTTCTGCTGGCATTTGGTTGTATGGTTGAGCTTCCTCAGCATGTGTCACTTGTTCTTTCTCCTCTTCATCAGAGAGACCGAAGTTTTCACCTTCAGGCCAATTTGTAATTATTTTCAAGATCCCAGGGCACTTCAGTTTTCCAGTACAGGTGCACTGTGTGATGAGAGCAATCCACTTGCTCCATGTGGCATTGGTGGCGTGGTGGGTAGAGGGAAACTTTGCTTTAAACATCCACCCCAGTACCAGTAGTCAGGGTGCCAGGAGGAGTTGTGCTTCAGTGCCAATCATCTCTGAGGCAGCTTGGACTCCTTCATAGGTGGCCAAGATTTCCTTCTCTGTTGGAATGTAGTTGGCTTCAGACCCTCTGTAACATCAGCTCCAGAATCCCAGTGGTCAACCCCAAGTCTCCCCAGGCACCTGCTGCCAAAGGCTCCAGGACAAACCATGGTTCCCAGCTGTGGAGTAGAGCACGTTCTTCACTTCTGGTCCTGCTCTGACCTGGCCAAGGGCTACCACATGAGCGATTTCTTGCTTGATCTGGGCGAAGGCTTGTTGCCGTTCAGGGCCCCAGTGGATATTGTTCTTTTTGCAGGTGACTAGGTAGAGAGGGCTCACAATCTGACTGTACTCAGGAATATGCATTCTCCAAAAGCCTATGGCACCTAAAAAACTTGTGTTTCCTTCTTGTTGGGCAGTGGAGACATTACTGTGATCTAATTGATGACATTGGTGGGAATCTGATGCCATCCATCTTGCCACTTTACTCCCAGGAACTGGATCTCTCGAGCAGGTCCCTTGACTTTGATCTTCTTGATGGCGAAACTGGCTTTCAGGAGAATCCGGATTATTTTCTCTCCTTTCTCAAACACCTCTGCTGCCATGTTCCCCCACACAATGATGTCATTGATGTACTGCAGATGTTCTGGAGCCTTACCCTTTTCTAGTGTACTCTGGATCGGTCCATGGCAGATTGTGGGACTGTGCTTCCACTCCTAGGACAGTTGGTTCCAGGTGTATTGCATGCCCCTCCAGGTGAAGGCAAACTGAGGCCTGCACTCTGCTGCCAGAGGAATGGAGAAAAACATATTGGCAATGTCAGTAGTGGCGTACCACTTCACTGCCTTGGACTCCAGCTTGTACTGGAGCTCTAACATGTTTGGCACAGCAGCACTCAATGGTGGAGTCACTTCATTCAAGGCACGATAGTCCACAGTAAATCTCCATTCTCCTTCAGATTTGTGTACAGGCCAAATAGGACTGTTGAAGGGTGAGTAGGCCTTGCTGACTACCCCTTGGCTCTCCAGCTCACAGATCATCTTGTGGATGGGAATCACAGCATCTTGAGTTGTCCGGTACTGCTGGCAGTACACTGCCAAGGTGGCAATTGATACTCGTTGCTCTTCCCCCTTCAGAAGGCTTACTGCAGATGGGTTCTCTGATAGTCCAGGCAAGGTGTTCAATGGCTTAATGCCCTCTGTCTCCACAGCAGCTATCCCAAATGCCCACCTGAGTCCCTCTGGGTCTTTGAAATACCCACTTTGGAGGAAGTCTATGCCCAAAATGCACAGGGCCTCTGGGCCAGTCACAACGGAATGTTTCTTCCACTCATTTCCAGTCAGGCTCACCTCAGCTTCCACCAGGGTCAAAGTATCCTATTGCAAAAACATCCTATTGCAGCATTTTAATATTAAGAAGAACTCTTTCAATTTAACTATGATTTTTTAATAATTTTAGGAGGTGGATAGCATTGCTAGTGGATCAAATTAATGGGTATAGCGAAAGGACAACAACTAAAATGAACACAACCAAACCCAGTATTTACTCACTATTTTGCTATCCGAGAATCTGAAAGAAACACCCAGGAAAGGTAGTGCATGGACATCTTGTGATCTACCCTCTCGGCACCACAGCTAAATCCTCACTGATTTAGCATATGAGAAGACAACATCCACAGATCAGATAGTTCTTGTTCTCTGAACACAGAGAGGCTACTGAGTATAATGGAAAACCAGAAATCAAATAGAGACTGAATTTTACTTACTGTACTTAAAGGGGTTGGTGTAGGTATAGGAAGCAACCCTGCACCGGGCATCAGACTTGTCATAGTAGGAGCAGGTGCCAATAGAGAAAGGGCTTTGGCTTCATCTGGGATTTTACCTGAAGAAGCAAAGGAAAGCATTACACAGAGTTGGAACACTACACAGATGTTACTCTTTCTATGATTTTACAATTACCCTTGCATTTAAAAAAGTAATAAGTAAGAATGAATCTATTTACCAGATCCTTACAAAGAAAGGGATATGAGCTTAAGTATTTCCTTTTACCCTGCGTCTACTAGGAAAAACAAAAGTGAGCAGAACTTCAAAGACTAGCAATGTCATTAATGGATTATTATTTTAAAAACTGAATAATGTACACAATTATTTAACACTTGGAGCTATGGGTCACCTGTACTGGAAACTTAATGTTCATGAACCAAACGATATCAAGCATGGATGCTTTCCCAGGGCGGTGTTTTCACGGTGATCGAAAGCTGTTTTACACATGACAACCGTTCGTGTTGGCTGCATCACTAATAGCACACAGAACATCAGATACAGAAAAGAAGAACATTTTTTAAAGTTTAATCCCCAGAAATGGCAAATAACCAAATCAGTAAAAAAAAGAAAGAAACAAAGTATGTGTTAACTGAAATTCACCCTCTGGTGTTACCTACTTTTGATGTAAAAATAAATAAAAATAAAAAAAGCCCTACTGTGATTCTACACAAGACATACTACAAATGAAGTTGGGAGTGGAGGGAGGGCTGAAAAATTCATATTTGTACTGTCTTACATTCTAGGTCACCTCAGTTTATCTAAAATTTTGATAAATTAACTTTAAATTTACTGAAATTAAAGAGAATCATAACTTATCAGCTAAGCAAGCTATATTTTCCTATATTTCCTACTATTTCAACCATATTATATTTTCCCTGTCATGCAAAAAGTTTAAGCAATATCTAATCTGAACTAAACACAGGTTTCATTCAAAGTTAGTTACAATTAGACTGCTAAATAAATAATAAAAGTCTTAAAAAATCAAAAGATGCAACAGTTAATTACAAATGAAATTAAACGTATGTTTTAAATTTTAAATGCAAAGGCATTGAAACTGGTACAAATATTAAACACTGAACTGAAAAAATAAAGAAAACAAGTGCTAATTACATTAGTTATCTATGATTTATTCAAAATTACTGGAGTAACTGTATATATGCTACCCATCTGAGCCCTTTGATATTACCCCATGCACTTTAATAATATAAATGCTTTTATTTAAACATTGTTTTAAAAGTCAAGGTATATACAAATACTGTGCCAGTGGCTTTTACTGCTTTGGTTCAAACTTTATGTGTTTTAACTATAAAGCCCTTAACTTCAGAATTTTAAAATTATTATAAATATTGTTCTCAAAACCTAAATTATTATATTATTTTCAAAACACTGCAATTTTAGCTATATTTGTGAAAACAAACCCCACAGGAATCATACTACTTAAAAAAAAAAAAAAAAAACAAAAGTTGCAAACCTGTTCTACAGATCTGCAGCAAGGACTCGGTTAGAGTTGGAGATACAAAAGACAAAACAAATATAAATGAAAATTAATTTATATATAGCATGAGTGGATTAGAAAAGTTAAAACAGTACTCTTCTTTTTTCTCACACCTTCTATTTAGAGTTATTTTATTTAAGTTTTGAGGCATCTTGCTCCTTAACATGTAACAAACCACTTTATTTTGCTATCTAAAGAGGAAAAATAGGAAAATTATTAACAATTAAGAATTAACTGTGCTATTATGTTTTCCAGGGCTTTTATAAAAACATGCATAAATCTGAGTCATCATCACAATGCTGAGCACTCTCAACAGGTCTCATTTTGAAGTCAGGCATGCAATGAGAGGTGTACTTGATTTGCCAGACTGCTCATGAGAATCAGGTACCTTGCCTCACATCCTGCCTACTATGTAGCTAACTAACAGGCTTCCAAATATACAGTTCCAACAACTGTGTGTGCAAATTAGGCATACAATTATATACCAGTTCTTCTGAAAAACAAAATACTTAAGCATTTTCAAATAATTGCTGAGCCAGCATCTTGCAATTAACTGGATACTCATAGAGGTTTCTACAGGATCAACAGACATGGCTCAAGTTAATTTAATGGCTCCTAAAGTGGTACATCTGCATTGTAATTTAGATCCTTGGTCAATAATATACATAAGCATAGGCCTAATTTAAGTATGCACTTACATACAGCCAATTCAATACACACTTAACCAGATAAACTTAAGAGATGCTTAAGACATTTAGCCCTTTTAGATAGGAAATGAGTTATGCATATGCATATAACTAAACTGACAGGGAGTCAAGTTCAGAAATGTACTTAAATACAATTCTAAACTTTAAGCATATGGTTCACCTTACTGAAATAATTGCAGTTATTCATTATTCATTTCCTCAAACATTGCTTAAGGAATAAATTGAACAATTTCAGTTAAATAAACTATTATAGTTTAAAAAAATGAATTACATACATATATAAACTATAAAGCTAGCAGCATTATTTCCAGAATACTTTGGTCCCTCAACAACATAATGTTTAATGTTAATTACAAAATTTAGTTATCAGGTCCATGCCACAAAGATCTGTTCATTTATTTTATTCAAGAATGAAGAAAGGCCTACCTCTACAGACAGAACCCTGAAAATTTGTTTGTATTTTCAGATACTGTCTTTTGAGAAGATACCCCTTACTAGGTTTTAAGATCAGATTAAGCTTTTAAACAATTCTGTAGAAAATAAACTGTTGAGGGAAAAAAAACCCCAAAACCAAAAGCCTGAAATATCTTGCAAATTTATTTCCCTGGTTTTTAGACAGTTTTGAAAAACAAATTAATATGTAAGGCCAAATAACCTCAGAAGTTACAGCCTCCATTAATTTATTTTAAAAAGGGATACAAGCCCACAAAAATACAACAAAATATGTCAGTAATGACATAACAAATTAGGACACTTTAGTTTAAGAATAACTGTTTTGGTTTTTAAACTCATGGTATTTAAAAGCTGAATGGAAATGAGGCAAATATATTTATTTTCTAATAAGGGAAACAAGCAAAATAAATTTGCCACATCTATACTGCATCCTTAGAAATATTTATTTGAATGCATGAGTGTTTAGTAAATTAGATTCTATGATAATTTATTTATTTATTCTTCACTTTGCAAAGGAATCTGAAAGCAAATGTAGATTAACTCTGTATTACCTAGATACCTTATGCTTCTTCAGAAATGTACAGTTTTCCTAAGTGCTTAAGAGCCCTAGTTGCTTAAGAGCCCTAGTCAACCTAGTCTGTACCAGAATCCATTTTGTTAAATGCTAAACAGAAATATCTGTGTTAAGCAGGTACTAATCACAGTATTTTTATCGCTGTACATGTGCTCAGAAACTAATTTCTTACTCTTTATACTGAAACTACATGGTTAATCCTCCCATCACCCCAAAACAGCTTCAAAAATAACTAAGTACATTTCTTTTTTAAATACTTTCTTTTTTCATTTACTTGAAAGAATTTTAAATGAATTGTTATTTTTCTACTATTTTAAATCAATGGAAAATGCACACTTACAAACAAAATAATTTCTGTGTGATTCAGTTCATGATTCTTATTGGATTTAGCGGCAGAGATTAAAAGGATTACAACTACTTGTAATTACCTCAACTGGCACAGCTAAATCCAACAGAGATCAGGAAGCTCTTCCCAGCTACAGTTCTCAGCTTGGTGCATTATGAGAATCAAGCCAATTGGTCCCAATGCAGCTGGCTGGGAAGAATAATGCCTGAGGACTAGACACATTACCTGGTCCAGCACTTCTGTTTTAGGGCTTCTGTTTCACAAGAACAAACATCATTTAGGGATAAGAACTTTCTCAATCACTCCAGCATGAACTGCCAGGGCTTCTGAGATTGTGAAATGATAATTTGTTTTTAACCTCTTCTTGAAATAATGACCACTGGAGCATGTAAAAGTGCAATACACACATACACGCACACAAAACTTTTCAATCTTCCCATGAATAACAGTGTTGAAAGACAATGTGCCTCACAACACATTCCAACAAAAATCTCAGCGACGTAAACATGAATACTCACCTAAACAGTTTTTTCTCAAAATTACAAAAACAAAAGGATGAAATCTTACTGCCACTGACCTCAATGGAGCAAGGTTTCATCAGAAGCAAACAAATATTTCATGACATTCAATACTCGTGAAATCTCAATATCAGAAATAATTATTTTAAACTCTTCTTATTAGATATAAATAGAAAGCCTTCTTTTAAACAGATCATGCAGCCTCAAAGTACTCTGCTGAGAAAAGGAAAAATAGCAGAGAAAAATAATGATTTTACTTTGTAAAGTGAATTTCTCCAGAAAGTTTTAACTTTTCTTTCAAGATAAGCTCACAAAGCATAATATATGAAAGAATGCATCTTAAAACTGATATAGTTTTCACTATTCCAGTATGACACAATGTGTTCATCTGTTGAATTTAGATGCTTAAATGTATTCCAAACAAAACTTATCCATAACTCACAGCATAAAACTTAAACATATCCTAAATTCTCTGTATACCATCCACAAGTAGCTTCAGGTCGACTTCAAAATGAAAGACTATGAATCCTTTACAAAGCATAATTTTTTTCACAGCTGAATTACCAGTTCACAAGTACAAGGGTAAGGGATTTAACGGAACAAAACAAAAAGGAAAAAAAAAATTAAAAAGTGAAAATAAAAGAAACAAAAGAAGGAAAGCAAAATAAAATGAAAACAGAGACAGGGCGTCCATCTTCAGCAGGCCAGACTTCAATCTCATTTCCCCCATGAAGATTTCACTTGGCGGCAGGTTTAGTGGCATGGCAAACAATGCCTAACTCAGGCAAGTGTAACAGGTCTGCCTTGGCCAGTCTAGTCATCTAATAATGCACAAATATCACACAGAGAAAACATACAAAACCAAATTAATAGTCAAAATCCATCTACTAGACAATATGGACATAAAATTTAGAATTATTAGGGTGGTATCTTTATCTTTCAACTTGTGTGTTCTCAAACTATAATGTTTAAAGAAAAACCTAATGATACACACAAAAGAAAGTTATATTTTGAGAACTTGATAATGTTAATTTACAATTATATTTTTGTTAAATTGCTTATTAAATGTCACAAAATGAACACTGTTTTCATTGTGTAGTGATTCATTCCTCATACTCTTAATTTACCACTGTTTAAATACACTACAAATTTCATATTTTATTCTATTTTCTAAAACCAAGCTTTCAGAGTTTCATTTTACCCCTTCTATATGTTTAATTCAGCACATGAAACATTTTATTGCTGGCACTGTTGGCTACTGATATAATTTAACCTTTTAGTAGAATATAGCCATTGCTATTTTTAAAGCCCATTGTACACTCCACTGATTCCGTTAACAATTATACATAGTGAATAAAAGATGTTGCACTATGGTCTCAGAAAGTTAAACCTATATGAATTCATATCTTTGCAAATTAAAATCAGTTATTCTGTTAGAAAGTTACATGAAAACAGCATTCTGACTTGAAAATAGAAATTGACCTCACGACCCAATCACTTGTTCACCGAATTATATATAAATCTCTGTGGGGTCCAGAATAGTCTGGAACAGTGACAGTTTGTCTGTAACACATTTTCTGAGAAACACCTAATAAGTCAGCTACAAACAGGGTTGGAACAAGATTTCTCAGAACTCTGATTTTATTCTCCTTCCCCTAATTGTCTGCCATCAAGAGACACAGGAAAATGTAGTTCTACCTGCCTGTTGTCATATCACATCATGCAGTGATCTCAAGAAAAATACCAGGAAGTGTTGTTCATTCATTAGGTAGCAATCTTTCCTCTCTGGCAGTACTGAACCAGTGTTAAGATTCTGAAGAATTTGCAGTCAATTACTTAAGGGCAATTTTTCAATAAGGATGCTGTTCTGATACATTTTGCCTACCCAAAGCCTTTACAAAGCTTCAAGTGGATACAGCAATATCCTCTTTGTGGTTTAAGAACAAGTTCCAAAAATAAAACCCAAAAGCCCCCCAAACAAACCATAAAAGCAACTAAAAATCTAGGCTTCACAAAGACTTATCATTATGCCCATGTTAACAAGGCTACAAGAATAGACAGTATACTGTAGGTCATCTAAGAGTCTATGAAATTTTTAAGACTTGTCAGAGTTTGCTAGGAAAACCCCAGATCATCATTGCAGCAGCACTAATCTCATACTATCTAGATCATGATGTGGCAAACATGCCAAAAAATGGCACTCTGGGACCACTGTTAACAAACTCCAAAAAGTCAACAGTATTGTTTGAACCAAAATCTGACTATTGAAGTTATAAAAGTCCTGTTAATAGCAGATATTTATGAACTTGCTGCAGTTTATGGATCAATCTTTCTAAATATTTTTGTTCATGGCAAAACAGCTATCATGTGAAGTTATCTTTACTCCATCAACTGAAATACTCCACTCTAAAGAGGCAATCCAGATTCAAATGGGCAAATGCTCAATTCTCACAATTATCACAATGAAGTCAATGGGGCTCTGCCTAACTCCAGTGATCTGCCTACAGCAAGTAGAGCCATGCTTCATAGAATTGCATTTAAATCTGGGATAGTATACTAACAATAAGAACTACCTTGTATTCAACACATGTAAAAGCAGGACCTCAAAGCTAGCCAAAGAAACACTTGTAAATTTAGCATTCATCAAGCAGTTTATTTTACTAAGAGTTATAAAAATATTTTACACTAAAAGCATTCTTTACAGCTGATTGCATTTTTAAAGACATCTAAAATCAAAGAAGAGTACCAGTATGCATAAGAAAGCCTTTTTATTGCATACAAAGTAATATTTTCCACAGGAAGAAGAAAGAAAAATTGAAACATTTTTTAATTAAATTAGAAAGTAAATATTTATATTCAAACAGCAATTATCATCACAAATGCAAAATACATAAGATTAATCTAAAATAGTCAAATGCACATATAACGTCTCCAAGACAAAATTGGAATTTGGTGTAAAAAACTGAAAAATAACTACTATCTTAAAAAAAAACACAAAACCAAAACACCACACCAAGGGCAACACATTAAGATCCAAACTGCAGTGTTATCACAGTGCCAGGAAACTGTTTTATCTTTGCAGTGCTCCATTGACTTCAGAGAGAACTTTGTGTGGGAATAAGCTTGCCAATCCAAACCATAATGAAGAGTATTAGTTTACCTTATTTTCCCACAAAATATGTAATAACTGTGGAAAATTGAACTATCCTAATTTAAATCAACTAATTTTTTTTCTAATGCTGGATTTCAATTTAATCTAGATAATTTGGTTTCTTCATTTGATTTTCAATTTTGTTTCAAGGCTTTTTTTTTTACAGAAATAAAATAAAATAAAAGAGCACTGCCTCTTTAGATAGAAAGCTTAAAACAATTAACAGACAGGACAAAGACCAACATTACAGAAGAATGTCTAAAATACCAACCTTCTGCGCAGGGCACAACTATCAAAGCTCTGTCAATAAAAACCGTGTTAGTTAGATGCTGGGCCACACCAACACTTGATGCTTCACGAAACTTAATATAACATACTTTGGAAGAAAAAGTAAGAGGTGTGTTGCTGCAAGATAAAAGGAAAAAAAAAACAACAATTAGCCATATTAAATAAATGTATGCATATATTTTCAACTATTATTTCTTAATCAAAAAAAAAATAAAAATAAAGAAGTCAGATTTCCTGGAAAAGTTACCCAAAAGACAAGTATAGAAATTTACTAATTTGCCTACTTAAAAATTTACTAATTTTTACATTTACAAATTTACTAATTTGCCTTTTCACTTAAAAACTCATAGTATATCCCCTCTTTCTTTTTAATGGAAACTTACAGAAGCCAAAAGCCCAAATTAACAAGGCTGATTTTCTTTACAAATCTTGCTAAACAAAATTACATTGCTATTATAAATAGCATATTTACAGGACACTCTTGTCAAGTAAATAATTTATAGTTTATCTTTTATCCTCCAAGTAAAACTTGTTTAAAAACATCAAAGTGTCCAACTGAGGGCCAAGAGGATGGTGAAGGGCCTTGAGGGGAAGCCATACAAGGAGCAGCTGAGGTCACTTGGTCTGTTCAGCCTGAAGAAGACTGAGAGGGATCTCATCACAGTCTACAACTTCCTTGTCAGGAGGAGGAGGAGCAGACACTGCTCTCTCCTCTGTGGTGGCCAGTGACAGGACCCAAGGGAACATCATGAAGCTGTGTCAGGGGAGGTTCAGGTTAGATATTAGGAAAAGGTTCTTCACCCAGAGGGTGGTTGGGCACTGGTGGTGGTTTGGTTTTTTAATGTCCACAGGTTTCTTTGTTTGTTTTGGGTTGGGGGGACAGAGGTCTGTGTGGGTAAGTTTGAGGGGGAGGGTCTTTTGGGTTTTTTCTTGTTGTTTGGGGTTTGTTTGTTATTAAATACATATGCCAGTGTTACAACCCAAATGGTTGAAGCCTCCATTGAAGATTCTCTGGTTCAAACTTCTAACATCCCTTAGATTTTTTCTTTATTGTTTTCATTGGTAACTCAAAACCATAATTCTGTTCCAGGCAGTTACAGGCTACATAAATAAACCTTATAAATTCCAACAACTACAGAGCCAGTTATGACAAGTGTCATTTATATATTTCCCTCTCTGTATTTCCTGGATTTCAATCACAAAAGCTATCTGAGAAGTAGGTTAAAAATATTAACATAAGAATACTACTGCAACAAGGCTCTAAAAAAAACCCTTGCTACAAAGTGTTTTCTGAAAGTTAAGCTAATCATGAGATTCACTGGAGAAGTGATGAAAAGGAAAAATTCTCTAATAAGGAGACCACCTCTGCTGAAAACACATCAATGCTGCATCTACATTGAGGGAGACGATTAAGATCCAAAAGTTCTGAAATTCCAAAAAGTTTCACAGCGACTGAGTCCTCTTTTTTTGCAAAGTGGGCCTCCTAAACTTCCCCAGTAGGCTTCGTAAGAAGTCTTTCTTAAAGCAGAAAAGTCCTATTCTGTTTTAATCCCTTTTTTTTTTTTTTTTTTTTTTTTTTTTTTTTTTTTTTTTTTTTCTTTTTTTTAAGCTTTTTTTTGCCAATCCTTTTCAAGGCTGAATTGAGGTAGTCTCATAGACTTCTTCCTACGGTTACAAAGCATTGTTGAAAAAAAGCAAGTCCTACATCTCTGATTTAAGGTTACTATAATCCAGTTTCTTCAGAAATGCAAGAAAACTCAAAAAGGAAATAAAGATATAAATAGTATTCAGATGTTTCTACCATTTTTCTTTTCCTTTGTAGGGAAACAGCAACATCCATCCCCCAACAGAACAAAAACCAACCAAAAACTTAAGAATGATCTATTCAGAAATCTACAGTGAAAAATCAAATAAAAGGCTACAAAATATCTCTCTAAGGGTCCAAATTTTCTCAGGGTGCTGATGGTGGAGAAGACAACAAAAACTAATAACCTGTCAAAATAAGATGTTCTGGAATAATTGTGCAGATCACATTTAAATAAAGCTCTGTGTATTTTATCTCAAAGGCCTTATCTATACTGCAGCCACTGCAGGATATAACAATATCTAAGAAACACTTGTGTGTATTAGCTTCCAAGACAGCTCCAGAACACCCATAAGCAAACAGTATTATAGCAAGGCTTTCAATACCTGATGCAGACATTTTGTGCCTCCCTGCTTTGGAACAATTCATTCTGCTAAAGTTCAATTTCCATAAAGCTTTTCAATACTTAACTAATCAAAAATCCTCTTACAGCCACATTTGAAGGTTTATCACTACAAATGTAATTTTAACGGCTTCTCTGAAACACAGATTTCAACTGGGTGACAAACCTAACGCAAAAGCATGGTTTTGCAAATGGCAAACTGAGGAGCACTTGTTAAACAATGACAGCAATTCTCCATTCTCAACATGAGAATTCAGATCTCTACCTAAATCAGGACCATACACAGATATTCAAAATGTCAGGAGTTTTTCCCTCAGACTTTGATGACAAAATATCACTGAAGATGACAGAAACCCCACTAAAGCCACCCTCTTCTACACACAAGTGGCAAATCCACACCAAGGCCCTGATGTAGTTACAACTCGTAGGACATAAATTCTCTTACCAAGGCTGTGACTGTAATATTATGTTCTTGTTAACTGCTTCACCCTATCTAACAACAATTTTCCAAGTAATTTTCATATACATCTTTAACTTTTCTTTACGATATTTAAGTCTTTATCTTCATAAAAAAAACAGATCTCATTTGGTAAAATTAGAAACATGCAATTCAGTCCTCCTACTTTCCTCAAGATGTAAGCAAAAGGGAAAAATATTATATGCACAAGTAAATTTAAAAAGCCAACAACATAGAAATCCTATTTTCCTGAAAGGATTTTACAAGCATCCCTTACTTTCATTTCTGAGCAGTTAGGAAAAGAAAAAAAAAACCCCTCAAATTCTCTGAACATACTTCTTCTCAAGGTTAAAGCTCTGTTTATGGGACAGGGAAGAAGAGGTGACCAAAATGCTTGGCAATAGTAATGAAATTGAATAAAAGAGGTCTTTGAGCACTGAAAGATACTTATAGCAGTCTATAAGAGAGAGGTCTTATGAGGAAATGGTTAAAAATTTCATTAAGTCAAAGTTTCTTGGGCAAGTTTATGACACCAATTTTAAAGCAATACAGCAGACAATTGCAAGAAGATAAAATATAAACTCAGCTAGTCTCTTTGAGTTTTGATAATCAAATACAAATTACTTAAGAGTAAAATAAGTGGATTTAAAAAAAAAAAAAAAAACCTCTTCCCACCTCCACATAACTTGTTTACTGAGGTTATTCATCAAATAGGTGCTTTCAATTTTTAGATTAAAATTTCAATGGAAAGCCTTCTAGAGAGCAGAACAGTATATAGTTGTACAGTCGAGTCAAATTTAAATTTTTCTTGTAAGAAAACAGGTAAATACAAACAGCCACCAGTAACAAGCATTATGACCTACTAAAATATGATACACATTCATAGCTTTTCAATAAAAAGAAATATTGTTTTCAGTGTCAATGAAGTCTCACTGACAAGTAGCTAAAATCAGAATGATGACCATATGGAAACTTCTTCAGTATCAAGAGTTTCCTATGCCCACAATGCTGAATCTGAAAGCAGCTTATTCACAGTTCACACAGACCTCTTCAGAAAATAACAATAATAATAAAATAGCATTTACTGGCAACTGCCTAAAGTGCAAAAACCTCTCATACACAAGAGAGACACTTCCTCACAGAGAACTAGGCTTTCAGGAAAATTACATATATGAAATCCATCCTTCTTAATGGGATGTCTGCTTAACAATGACTGAAGAAACTGAAGGGCTTTGATGAATGAAGATAAAACATGAAGTGACAAACTACCAAAGAGCATAGTGTGATTTTGCTCAACATTCATAAAAGTCATCCCAATCATTTCAGTATACAAAATATAGGACCTTGTCAGAAACTGCTACTTTAAAACCCCAGTCTTAAGATATTAATTGCCAGGAAAAGTCACTGGGTTCAGGAAGCTCACTAGAAATACTGAAGAGTCATCTTAAAGAACCTGCCTTTTATTTAATGCATTAAAAAACTGAGATGGTTTCTCTCTCCTCCACATTGTGCATCCTTACAAGAACTTTAAGTGAACTAATCCAACATTAATATTTTCTCTTTAAAGTAATTATATTCAACAATTGAGACTTCCTGTTAGTTTTTTAAAGACATTCTCTGTTGCACCCTATAAAACCAAGGGATATGTTAATGACAGTGATGTCTTTGATGGGTTGCTTGTCAATAGAATCGCCTTGTTGGGGTTTAGGGCTTGACATGGTTTGGAGGCCACAGACCTAGGGGGAGGTTACTGATAATGGACAAGAAGAATGCAGAATTTACAGACCAAAAGGACATTTGCCCAAGATAAGTAGAAACTAACAAAGCCAACTAATCAACTGTGCTGAAAGCAGGTCCAACTGGGTAAAAGGTAATTCCATCAGGGGGAGATCACAACCACCAAACAACCCCCAATTCAAATTAAAGAGCCCTGACAACACGCAGTAGCTAATAATGAATTACAAAATACCTTATGCAATTAGCCTTTTTATGAGTAGCCAATAGTAGAGTAGTAAACATTGAATATGTAGTAGATAGGTGGAATATATTAGATTAACAACGTATAAATAATGATCAAGTTCTCTGCTCTGTGTGCTAGCTTTGTGGATTTACCACCCAGCACCCACCTTTGTGCAAATATGAACTAACCAAATACCTTGTCTCTGTGTGTGAGATTGTCTTACTGCACACCAGGTGACGAATCCCACTTTTAGAGACAATAACAGGAGACTGGAAAAATATAGAAAATTGCTGAAAAGTAACTTCTCTCTCATGATGCTAGTTCATAGCACAGCCCTATACTTTGTTCTACAATCATTGAAGAGCCTATAAGTAACAAGATACATCATCCTCACCCCCCAGTAAGTCATAAATCTTCTCTTTTTTTTCATTCATGTCAGCAGTAGGGTGCTGCACAATTAACTATAGTGGAACAGTGTTATCAAAGGAATTTCCTATAAAGTTGAAATGATCACCTGATCAAATTCACCACTTTATAAATCTCTTGGATTGCTCTGACAAAGCAAAATATCAGAGAATTAGGAAGAAAAAGATAATCCAAAGTTAAACATGTAATACTGCATCTTTCAAGAATGGGGAAAAATATTTCAAAAATAAATTACCAAGATCAATACTTCAAAATGGTCCATGTCCTTGACCAAGTTAATTCACAAATACCAGAATGAGATCTATTTCCTTTGAAACAAAAAAAAAAAATTAATAACAACACTACTGAGTATTTAATATAAGATTTTATGTATTAGACTTCAGCAGATTAAGGGAAAAAGTAGAAGGCTGACAAACATTATTGATTTTGAAGAGGTGAAGGAAAATTTATATTTTATTTGGAAAGATCATAATGGTGAATTAGAAAAAGGAGAGTTTATATGATTTATCAAGTGTATATACACATGTACATATACATATAATGTCTATATATTCTGCTTAATGTTGAGCATCAACAGAACTACAAGTTCATATCTATTAGAAAGAAACATGCCCAGCAAAGGCAATGGGATTCCAAATATTGCAGTAAATCTTTAAACTTCAATGTCTTCTTTTTAATAAACAAAATCATGCATACAGAAGAGAACACAACTTCATTGTACTCTGCAAACTCATGCTTGACTAAGTAAAAATATTTTGTGTGTATGCTGAATATTTTCAATACAGAATAAGAGAGAAAACAGGCTACAATTCTACACAATGCAACATACAACTTTGTTTCATCACATTGTTTTACCTGATAATGTGTGCTTGCAGCCCAGAAAGCCACCTGTATCCTGGGCTGCATCAAAAGGAGCATGGCCAGCAGGGTGAGGGAGGTGATTCTCCCCCTCTGCTCTGCTCTTGTGAGACCCCACCTGGAGCACTGCATCCAGCTCTGGGGTCCCCAGCACAGGAAGGACATAGGCCTGTTGGAGAGAGTCCAGAGGAGGACCACGAAGGTGATTAGAGGGCTAGAACACCTCTCCTATGAAGACAGGCTGAGAGAGCTGGGGCTGTTCAGCCTGGAGAAAAGAAGACATCGTGGAGACCTTATAGCAACCTTTCAGTACCTAAAGGGGGCCTACAAGAAGGCTGTATGTTTTACAAGAGCATATAGTGACAGGACAAGGGGGAATAGGTTAAAACTGAAAAAGTATAGGTTTAGATTAGATATTAGGAAGACATTCTTTACTGTAAGGATAGTGAGGCACTGAAACAGGTCGCCCAGAGAAGTTGTGGATGTCCCATCCCTGAAAGTGTTCAAGGCCAAATTGGATGTGACCCTGAGCAACCTGGTCTAGCAGAAGGTGTCCCTGCCCATGGCAGGGGGGTTGGAACTAGATGATCTCTAAGGTCCCTTCCAACCCAAGCCATTCTATGATTCTATTCTCTGATAAGTGTATTAAGTGTATTGTGGAACAAGTCCAAAATAGAAACCTAGATAACTGTGCAAAAATCACTATAAATCTATTAAAGTGTTTAAAACTTAGGTAAAGCTGTTTTATCTTGACATGAATGGATGCCTACTATACATACTTTATGTGTTAAATCACATTTAAGTTTTCTGAACATTCCTCATCCAAACATAGCTATGTATAATCTAGTAACACATTAAAATGGACAAATACCATCTTCTTTTACTAGTTTTTTTATAATTAAATTTTATTCCTGTCTTCTTTGTATTAAAATTGAAGTCTGAATGTGAATGACTCCCCCTGCCCCTTTCTGATATTCCTATTTAATTTTCATTTATATATAAGTTTAATTCATATACATATATATATATATATATATATATATAAATGGTTTGAAAGGGCCAGTCTGCCATTCACTTCCTAATACAACAGATGTGTTAAGAAAAAAAAATATTTATTTTCCTCTTCTGTTCCATTTGCTTTGAAGAAACACTGAGGTTTGCAAAATAACAATATTATCTCTCATTTGAGCAGATCCCTTACATGCAGTTGACATAACAAGGACAGCTACAATTTAGAGAAACGTGTAATGTCCGTTATTAATTTTCACTTACTCCAAACGTCCTATTGGAAACATTTCTAAGCCCAGGCCAGGTACCGTTCCTCTGTTAACAGCTATGCTGACTTCTGTTCGAGTGACCCTTTCTCGCGGGAGAAAACAGCCGTTCGAACAAAAAGAGCTGGTCTCGCCGGCCGCACCACTCGGGCGATGCGCGCCGGCAAGACCAGGTAGCCGGGCGGAGGTCAGGCCTGGGGCGCTCCCGCTCGCCCCCGCCCCCTCCCCCTCCCCTTGGGATGAATCCGAGCGAAGAGAAAGGTGGGGCACAGAAAACAGGTTTTCAGGAAAACGGGGGAAACGAGACCTGCATCTAGGAAGCGCTTCGGGGCAGCCTGCGAGCACGCGTCTTGTCAGGCTGTGACTCAGTGCCGACAGCTGCCACGGGGTGACCGCGGCTCCGACCGCCACCACGAGAACAAAACTCGCCGTGTTTCTACAGGCCGCTCCAGAGATACCGCGACTGATCCCCTCCTCCGGACCGAGGTAACCATCTTAGGTCCAGACTTAGCCCCTTTCCCCTAACGTTCCTGCCCCATACAAAGGGGTGGGACCACGTGACAGACACACACCCACGTGCGGGAGACTGATGCCCACACTCAAGATGGCACATAGGACCTTCTGCCTCTTCCTTTCCCTCCATCCTCTAGACCCCTCTAAGCCTCTTCCTCATTCTGAATCTCTATTGCTCTGAGGGCCGACGCAGACCCTGCTTACTCCGGGGGATAGAGGCGCAGCTCCTCGATATCTCCCAGGAAGCTGAAGAGAGTCCGCATCTGCTCACTGGTCACAGCCGAGGAGAGGTTCGTGATCTGGATGACAGACGTGGGGGCCAAGGGGAAGCCTAGCGGCACCCCGATCCCTCCACTGCTCATCATGGCGGAGCCTGCACAACTGCTCCGCTCGCGACAGTGCCACACAGTCGGAAAGGCGGGCCGGACGACAGAGAAGCGTGTGGCGCCTGCCAGAGCGTCCTAGCATGCGGGCGCTCTAGCGGCGGACTCGACTGCTCCCTGGAGGTGATTCTGGGCGGACAGCTGTTCTTCCCGTGCTAGCTGGGGCTCACGGTGGAGCGGGCGCCCTCGCTCCGCGCCGACGGGACTCCGAGTTCCCCTGCAAGAAGGGAAGGGGGGAAAAAAACCTCACTTCCCTCCGGTTTCCCAAGGAGCTACCCAGGCCACCAGTACGGGACCGCGTCCCCCTCCTCCCCCGGCCTTCTTTCACACGCACTACCCGCCCCAGGCTGCCAGGGGACTGGATCGTAGATCTTGCGATGGGGAGGTCGCATAGCAGAGGAAGCAAGCATGACGGCCCGGATGCCGCACACAGAACGGTTAAATAGTTCCATCATACGTGGGGAAGGCGCAGCTGCGAGCGCCTGACTAATTCTTGCATGAACAGGGCCTGAGTACCTTGTTAACTGGTTTCCTTGTCCTTTAGCAAAGCAAAAGGCTTATTATTTTAAAACTGGAATACCAAAGAGTCTAGGTACCAAACCTCATCTTTAATAGGTCATGTTTAGCTCTATTAACTGATTTGGCATGAAATTCACTGAATGCTCTGCCAGCAAATTAAAACATGCCCACAGGAAATGGAAGGAAAAATAGATCCCCCATTTAAATGCTCTTTTGGAAGCCAAGTTCAATAAGCGGCAGTTTAATTACCCTAGAGAGTAAACCCTTGAAAACTTGCTCTGTGTTAGACAAGAAGAGTTGTAATGGAATAAATTGTTAATGGTTTTGATGTCCAGGTGTTAGAGAGATAAATTACTTGTCAGTAGAATTGCCTTGTTAAGGTTTGGGGCTTGACATGTTTCAATGATCTCAGACCTAGGGGGAGGTTAACAAAGCTTGATAAAAAGGATGTACCACTGATAGTGGACACAAAGAATGCAGTATTTATGGGCCGTTAGGACATTTGGCAGAACTCCCAAGATAAAGAAGAAATTAATAAACCCAACTCAGCAACTGTGCTGAAATCAGCACAGACTGAGTAAAAGGTAATTGTTGCAGGGGGAGATCGCAACCACCAACTCATGGAACACCAACCCAAAAGAAGAGAGACTCAGCATGCGGACTAATCAGCATGGGAAGGGAGAGACTCATTAACCAATATAAGATAGAATACTAATTAATAAGAGAACTATGTAACTTTTAGCAAATGAACACTAATTCCTTTGTTTGCTGAAATGTATAAATAGTTTAAAATTTTGATAGTCATCGTGCTGGCTTTGTGCATTTGCCACCCAGCTCCCCTTTCTGCACAGGACTGTAAATAAATCAAATACTTTGACTCAGTGTGTGTATTGGCCTCTTGCACACCGGGTGAAAGGATCCATTTTGGGACAAATTTTGTTGTAACTTGACTGGGAATTTATAACAATTAAATTGATTTTACCTGGAGTAACAGTTCAAGTTCTCTTTAAAAGTTAAATTGACTGGAGAAAATGAGACTGAGCACTATGCATATGAGTGATCAGTATTAAGGATCTAACTGCAGTCTTGCTTAGGTGTTAAAGAACTTTGTATCTTGGCACTGAAAGACTTAAGGTTACAGACATGAATATTTTAGCTTTTAAAACCTTCCATACCCTAGACTTGAACTGACAAAATGGATTTTGAAGGTTGAATGTGTTCAGCCTCACCTCCAAATCCCTCCAAAATCCCCTGAGACTGTGCTCCCAAAATTCATCTCTGTTTTGCTCTGATCCTTTTAAGTTCTTTCATGGATTATTTAAACAACTTGCAGTACACCAGAACAGAGTGAAGCCTGTCCTAACAGACCATAACAGGAATCGGGGAGAGAAGTAAAATCAGGGCAGGCTTCCCCAGAAGACATTGTCATGATTAAGCATCACCCATTGCTCTTATCCTTGATAGAGCCCATCCATGCTGTCTGGTCCCCTGAGGGAGCAGAATTATTTCCAGATCAAATTTTGACTCAGTAGCTCTTATATAAAGCAAAATAATTTTTAAAATATTTTTCCCTGTCCTGAGTAAAATATTTCCCCCATTAGATTCCCTGTATCCTTCTTGCAAAATACTAGCGTGTGGTTCTCCACTGAAAAATCACAACCTAATAGGTGAGAAAAAGGTTGAAAATTGCAGATGATTGAAAAGAGAATTAGAATGGCAGAAAGCCGGAAATTTTTAAGATGCTACCGTAACTACCACTATTATGGATAATTCTTTTTAAGTCTATGGAAAAGTAGATAATGTTAACAAAACTATTAAAATATGTCTTGGTTTGAAAAGACAGGTGTCTGCTAAGGAAGGCAGGAGCCTCCCCTGAAATCGAAAATGTAAAACCTCTCCCTCCGAATTGTTATAATTTTGAAATTAAGGGGGGCTCTAAGGCAAAGATATGGGAGCAGGAATAACAGTTCTTTATTAGGGAAGAAAATAATAAAAAAAAAAACAATGCAGTAATACAAAACAACACTGACAGAGTCAGAATATGACCTGACACCCTGTTGGTTAGGGTGTTGGTAGCAGTCCAATTGAAATGGTGGCTGCAGTCCTCCCAGAGTGACAGATGTGGTTCTGTTGAAGCAGGGATCCTGTAGAAGGGTGTAGTCTTTCTCTGAAGATCCAGTGGTGGTGTAGATGGGCCTGGTCTTCCTCTGGGAATCCAGTGGGAAAGGGCTGCCCTGGTGTCCCAAAATATCAGATTATATCCAGGAAGGAATGCTTGGCTCCTCCCCCAGGGCAGAGCATCTCACAATGGGATGATGTAATTTTTATCAGTCATATTTCCCAGAGGGAGGATTGGTTTGTGGAAGAGATAAAGAAAACTGCCCAGTTAACAGAAGATAACTGTCACACCTCTAACAGATGGCAAATAGAATACACACTTATCTTACAATTCAGGACAGTATCACCACACACCACTATAAATATAATTCTTGTTGTCTCAGAGTAACTGCTTTCTAATAACACACAGTGAGTTTCATTAATGTATAGATTAATTCTGCTGGTTTGTTGCTTTTATCTGTAAATTCAGTGTCCTGGGAAAGAACTTACTTTAAGAAATATGCAACATGTAGCTAATTTTTGTCAGTGCTTGGTACCATGATAATGGTCTTGAAATCAGTATTCAACCCATCTGATTGCTATTTTTAACCTGTCTTAGGTGAGGATTTAGTAAGGACAGGGCACTAAAATCTCTGCTGACTTTTCTGTGGCAGCGCAATCTGCCATTGAGGTTTCTAATAGGTTTATTATAGATCAGAGGCACTAATTCTCTCAGGTTGTGAATCTTCTTAATTACTAATTTTGTTACTTGTCTCGTGGAACAATTGTTCTGGGAGCAGCATAACTGATGAAGTCCACTTTCTTATAGACTTGCATCCTACAAGCCTGTGCCTTGAGACCACAGTCACCTTCACTGGGGTCCTTTTCTGCTCCCTTGTACACCCCAGGAGCTCCCAGCAGGTATAAATGCCATCAGCCATCAGCCTCACCACTTTTGATGCCCCTGAGTACCACTTACCAAGAAGCAGCTGATAGAGGAGCATGTTTTTGGTACTAAGCCCATACATCAGGCTCAGGAGTCATAGAATCATAGAATGGTTGGGGTTGGGAGGAACATTAAAGATTATTCCATTCCCACCCCCTTGCTATGGCCAGGGAACCTTCCATTAGACCAGGTTGCTCAGAGCTCCATTCAACCTGGCCTTGAACACTTCCAGGGATGGGGCAGCCACAGCTTCTCTGGGCAACCTATGCCAGTGTTTTACCACCCTTTGAGTTGTTGTTAAGTTCCTGTTGAAGTCTTTTGATCAGTGAGGACACTGCACCCAAGAACTGATTTTCATTAAACTTGTGATGACTTCCTTTATTTGAGATCCTTAATCTCTTGGCAAATTTGGTTAGAATTCACCAAAATGCAATAGCTGCCATAGAGGGTTTAAAAGACAGTCAGACGGGATGATCAATCAAAGTTAAAAATACAAAATTACATAAACTGCCATGAAAGATGAATTCATACTGGGATTTTGATCTAGGGCTTAAAATTTTTGGGTTTAAAGACTTTTACCATTTTTGTGTCTGGCCATTCCAGTAGTCAATGAAATCTTTAATTCTGTGCTCAGTTTCTCTTTAGGACTGTCTTGGTCACCCTAGAACAAGGACCAAGTAGGGTCAGTGCTTCAGTCTCCCGTAGTTTAGAAGCAGCTGTAATTTCACTTCTAAGAACCAATGGACCCAGGAGAGCAGATTACAAAAGAAGCCCTTTGGTGTTTTGCGTCTCTGGTGTCCATCAGTCTTTTGAGTTCTGGACCTGCTGGATGAGCAGCACATCCCCTCACTGGGACAGTGACTCCTTCAGTGGTTGTATTATACTGAGACCTCTACAGTGCTGTACTGTCCCCTCCCTAGGCTTGGTGTGAACTCAGGGGAGAGAAATGCTGGATATTGTGGATCCGGTGCTATAGACGTAGTGAGTAGGATTCTTTGGGAGCAGGTGTTAGCCAGGACCAGGGAGCAATACCATTTTCCCCCAGTGTTTTAGTGAGACCATTGCTTTGCTGCATATTATAGTCTATGGAAATTGAATTGTTTTCTATTTTCTATGACTCTGAAGTACCAAGGCCTGAACAACAGGCCCTGAGCCAAATTTGACCTCTAGATGAACCTTCCAACCAAATGTTATATGTATCCACTCATTAACAAAGTACTATTAGCAATATGATATATGTATCCTCTCATTGGCAAAACATGTATTTACCTTTCCATATTTAGAAACTGGACAAGGCCACATCTGGCCTTGTTTGGGGGTATAGGATCAAAGACAACTCCCTTGGTTCCTCCTTGAGCCCTGGCCAGGCTTTGGGAGAAACCCAACAGGAGAATTAAACCAAATGTTCCTGCACTAGAAGTTATAGTAGCTTGTTTATTTAAGAGTATAAAAACAGTACCCTCTCACAGCAAAGTCAGAGAAGCCTCTTTGCCTGTAGGTGGATGCACTTGCTGGATTTCCCAGTTACTGGGAGTGGTTCTCCAGTCTTTCACTGTGACAGCTTCCCCCAGTTGATGTGCAGACCTGGATGATAGTTAAGTACTAGGGTAACTGGTGATCTATCTTTCTTAATCACTTTAAGCAATCTTTTGTAGTAATAATTAGGTGCATTGCTTAGCTTATCCTTTTGTGATTCTTTGCAGTTTTACATTATAGTAAATTACACTTATTCCTTAAGTTGGTGTCTGTGTCTTTTGTGCTGACCCTGCCCACCAGCAAAACACTCTCTTC